ATATATATATATATATATATATATATAAATATATATATATATATATATATATATATATATATATATATATATATATATATATATATATATATATATATATATATATATATATATATATATATATATATATATATATATATATATATATATATATATATATATATATATATATATATATATATATATATATATATATATATATATATATATATATATATATATATATATATATATATATATATATATATATATATATATATATATATATATATATATATATATATATATATATATATATATATATATATATATATATATATATATATATATATATATATATATATATATATATATATATATATATATATATATATATATATATATATATATATATATATATATATATATATATATATATATATATATATATGAAAAAATAATATATATATATATTAGGGTTGGGCATCTAAGCTATAATGCCGATCCGATACGCATCTCGATACAAAGAATACGATCCGATATATTAGCGATACATTTGTGACATATTGCGATGCATATATACATATATATTTGCACTCTTTCAACATAAAGGTTGAGCATTGCACAACAAGAATTGTGATTTAACATTGTGATTTCAACTATAAAAAAAATTTAACAAAGATATATTTTGCCACTGATTTTAAAACTTAAGGTTGTGAACTAGCAGTGTTATGCTGCTTTGAAACATCACTGTCACTGTAAACAACAGGCTAATAAAAATATAACAAACCAGCAATTTTCTTGCTGTGAGGTGGTCAAACTACCCACTGTGCCACCGTGACACCCATTATTTTTATCATTATTATTATTAATATTATTATTATTATTATAATTAAATAAAAATTAACAGGAGGAGGTGTTTAAAACCGCCTAGGGCGGCAGTATAGAGAGGGCGGCGTCCGCAACACCCAGTTATATGCGCGCATAGGGCGGCAGAATAGAGGTCCGCGACACCCGCGCGTCCTCAGTTATATCCGCGCATAGGGCGGCAGAATAGAGGTCCGCGACACGTGACTTCATTTTCATAACCAGTCACTTTCGTTTTCACATTGGGGTTGAGGGCGGCGTGATCGTCCTCTGCCTAGAGCGGCAGTTCAGCTTGCTCCGGTCCTGCAGATGAACAATGCAATAACATCCGTTATTGGCGTAGAGCGCACAAAACTTTTGCGCATAGAAAAAAAAACTTGCAATGCTTTTCTCACCACTTTTGGAGCTGGTAGCTACAGTTAAAGCAGTGCGAAAGCCGGGGATGTAGGAACACTGGAAGATGCTTTCACAACAACACCGTGGCGCCGCTTCAAGTGAGATATCAGATTAGTCGTACTGCCCGCGTATTTTATAGATGCGCGGCACATTTTGCAAATTGCATCTGTTCTGTCAAGTCGTCCATCCTTAAATCCATAATGTTGCCATACTTTAGATTTAAAACTCAGTGGGGAATAAAACGTTTGTTTTGCTTCTCGCGCTTTCTGAGGGCGCTCCACTAGCTTCATCCGCACACCTGATACACTGAGTTGTAGTGTGTGCACATCTGCAAATCCGTTGCTAAGGCTTACTTTATGTAGGTCGATTAAATTATGCGGCAAAACAGGTTGACAACACTTGTTAATAAATAAAAATACATTCTATATTAAAAATATAAGCTGTATCTCGGAAAAACCGATGCATCTCGATTTGCTTCCAAAATTTCATTCATCCTCTGCTGCTCAACCGATGCACTCGCATCGTGCACGCGCATGACCGCGTATCGATACATATCGGTTAATCTTCCCATCCCTAATATATATATATATATATATATATATATATATATATATATATATATTAGAGCAGTAATCACAATACTGTGATTTTTTTTATCCGAGGAGGATAAAATAGCGAAACCCTATTGACGTTGTTTGTGTCGGCTTGTATTTCATGAGACCGTAAAAATACAAAAAAATGCCTCCGTCGACATTTTCACACTATTTGATTCGATTTATTAAAGTCACACAAGTGGCGATTTCACATCTGAATTTTGCCTATTATACACTACCCATAATCCAATATACACAGATGGATCAAAAAAGGACGGCCATGTTTCTGCAGCAATAGTAATGGGTCAATCACACCACGGCATTCGCATTCCTGATCAAAGCTCAATCTTTACAGCTGAAGCTAAGGCAGTCTTTTTAGCGCTGGAACACATTGAAAATGCTGAAGGAAACCATTTTTAAATTTTCTCTGATTCTAAATCTTGTCTACAGAC